TCGCGGGGTGCAGCAGCCCTCCGAAAGAGGCCATGATCAACAAGACCTCCAGACGTATGATACAGGGTAGGATCGATGCATTCCCAGGGCCAAGCCGCGAAGTTGAATGCTGGTTGCCCACTCATTGTGCGGTAGAAATGGCGATGGTGAAAAGTAGCAGAAGAGTGTCGTGTATGCCAATGCTCTTGCAGCCTTTGGTGTGCAGAATGCATCGTCTGTCCAACATAAAAACGACCAGAAGGTAAATGAACAATTGCATAAATCACTCCTCGAACAGTGAGGGGGTCCATACCTGGCTCAAGAGGTTGTTGATCAACACCTCGCAATTGTAACTCAAACCGCTCGGCCTGCACAACATTGTTAAGATGACGGAGTTGTTTCTTGCGCCACCTTCCTGCAGAATACAAGTTAGTATTCCACTCCAAGTGTGCACGTCAATCTACACGATGAGATCCAGATGCCTGGCGGTTCGACATGTGAGCATAAGCAAATGGGACAGCGTGACCTAGAGGAAAGCTTGGTATAGCACCTGCCATGCCAACGGCAGGAAATCTCCCGAAAGGGGTGGGAAGTATCGGAACAGCCCCTTGATTATTTCTCAATTGTAAATTCATTGATTACGAAACGATTGTTTTTTTTGGGTTTTTTTTCTTATTTGTTTTTTTTCATTTTTTTATTTTTTTATCAACTTTTCAATCCAAAGAAAGGAGGTGGGTGCATGAGGTGACAAGACTTTAGGCCCGACGGCTCAGGTCGGGATTCYTGYCGTCGTCCTTTTTGTTTGCTGTTCACAGTCAGCAGCATTGTCAAAGAGGGAGCTTGGTGTAAATGTGAAACTGCGTCTCCCGATGAGTGTGCAATCAGCATAAGTGTGCAACCAGCAGCAATGCCAAGAGCCTTACACCGATAGACCAACAGTGTCTACATAAAAAGATGTCACCAAGCAACTGACACATGCATGAGCCAGCGTAGAAGGATTATCCCAAAGAACAAGGAACAAGAGGTGAGTGGGCATGGAGGCAGCCGCCCGGGTCTGGCCAACCTTATATATATGTCGTCAAATAGAACTGCCCTATATATATCATATATATATATATATATATATATATATATATATATATATATATAGAGAGAGAGAGAGAGAGAGAGAGAGAGAGAGAAGAGGACTAACCTGCCCAGCGCCATAGCTGGCTCCGCGGTACCTGCAAGTTCAGCCATCGCCAGGTAAGTGCAGAAAGCACCCAGCTTTCTTCTTCTTCTTCTTCTTCTTCTTCCTCTTCTTCTTCTCCTCCTACTCCTCCGAAGTTCTTCTTCTTCTTCTTCTTCTTCTTCTTCTTCTTCTTCTTCTTCTTCTTCTTCTTCTTCTTCTTTATCAGAGTAGAGATAGAGGTAACTGCAGACATTGTTTTGGACACGGCCTTCTGCCTTACTGGACACGACATTCAGATCGGACTTACACTCTACATTGGGATTGAGCTGTGTGCGACATTCGGAGATCAGACTTGGTTTGGACTTGGTTACCTCTATGTCCCTCCCCCTTCTCTCGCGCATGTCTATGGATCTCTCCCCATGTGTGTGAGCGGAAGGGCAATCTTTCTAGTGTCTTGCCCTTCCGAAGTTTCTCCCTTTCATGTTGTTGTCCACGTGTCCTCTTGATACTAAATCTTYCGCTGCGMTGCTTCCCAGCCTATGATAATGATGATACGAATGTGTTGTTATTGATTTCCCGTTGTTCCACTCTTTGCATCGCGCACATTGACACCTTGTGAATGTTGCACCTATGCTGCTGGTTGTTGCCACTTTCGTCATTGCTAGATCCTAGGCTTTCAGTGCATTTCACTTTCTGATATGCTACAGGATTCCTAAGCTGATGCAGTTGAGATTTTCACCTGAACATGGTCAAAGCTCTTCTCCATGACCTCAGCCAGATGTGGGAAAATGCTGATCAGCGGAGGAACCATAGCTGGAGCATGTCGGAGAGTTGCCTGCCACAACTGACAAAGCAATCAGGCGGCAACAAATAACCACCACATTTGTCAGTCCTGTCAATCCATCTGAGCAAAAGTTTGCTGATGATGGCTGGTGCTGAAGTCTTTGATGTATTCTCCAAGACGCCAGAGTTCTGTTGAACTAATCAAACAAGTCAAACACACAGTGCAACAGGTAGCATGCACCCCGAGATGAGAAAGGTGGACTATGCCACAACAAGAAAGGAACAAGTTAAGAAAAAACGGCCAGGAAATGTAGAATGACCAAACCCTTTAAGATGGGACTACTGAAGTATGCTACATTATTCGACAATCCACGGACTCTTGGCACAATTTGTGTCACTCCTGGTGTGAAAGTGAGGAAACACAGTCAGAGTACACATAATTGTCGAATGATGGGGTTGAATGGTCCAGACCAAAGCCTTCATTGCCTCTCAGTTGCAACTCAATCAAACTAAGCTACCCATCCTAATGTGAAGAACACAACATTTGACTCTCTCTCTCTCTCTCTCTCTCTCTCTCTCTCTCTCTCTCTCTGCCCCCCCCCCCCCCCCCCCCCCCTTTGCTCTCTACCTCTCTCCCCCTTACCCATATCTGCACACACTTGGGCCCTCCAAAAAACGTAGCGGGTACCTGCATTCCATCTTCCAGCATGCTCAGATTATCAGGCTGATTTATATCTGTGCTATATTGCAGTATAGGAAACAGCAAGTCATAGGTCACTGGTGACTTCGTTCCCAATGCCGTCAACAGCCGCTGCAGAGCCAGAAGCACTTGTATACGCAACAGACTCTGACCTTCTGACTCCTGCCAAACCTGTTAAGACACATTATGAATACCGAGTACAAGAAGATAGCCCATCAGGTATGGACATCCACACCAGGCAATCAAAATCTCATGGCTTGCACAAACAGATCACATTCCTTTTGTGAAGAACAATAATGTAACAATGGCAGATGCCAGATATCCTCGCCGGTAGATCAAACCAGAACAAAAAAAGCCCTTAGTTTCTGAATGTGAAGCACTTGTCCTATCCACAGCGATAGCCTTCATTGTGAGGGCACTGCCCTATGCTTGAAAAGCATGATCCTGGTGGTAACAATGGCAGGCCTCATAAAGCAATCTAGACATCCTCAAGAGGTAAACAGAAAACATAAACAGCTAGCGAGAAAGGTGAAATCCGACTCATCTTTCCACACTTTCAGCATGCGTACAAACAGATGACGATCAATCTGGCAACTAGCGCCCACACAAAGCTCAGAGATAATGAAGCCAAGAACACGACTCAGATCCGAACTTGTCCTGGCCAGCTATGGCTGACACTTGCACTCTCAGCAACTTGTTCGTACACACACACTGGATCTCCCTGGATGTCCCGACACACATAGACACAACTCTCTCACACACTAACGCCCTACTGACATGCTGATGTGGCGGCTATGGCCGCCGTCTTTGAAAGGCCTTCCACAATTCAGACCCCAAATTCGGGACTCAGGGTCAGAGGCCCTGGCCAAGAAGGCCGAGTTAGTCAATTTCAGAAAAGTCACAGTCGGGTACCTAAGCAGTCCAGTCCAACAGGCACCCAGCAAACAGTCACATCTTATGGGCAAAAGTCACGTTTCATAATGAAAAGTCATATTGAAGAGTTGCATCCCACGAGTAAAAGGGCAGTTCCACAGGCGAGAGTCGTGTCTCAGAGGCAGGAGTCACAGTCCACAGTCAAAGCCATATGCCAAAATCGAAAAGTCACGACTCAAAGGCCCAAGCTGCAGCAGACCAATGGAAACTTGAGGTTCCAGGCCTTGAAATTTCTAAAGCAGACAGGGCGTGGGGATGTGTACCGGAACCAAGTGAAGCCCCAAAAAGCAGAGGCTGGCACGAGTTGAAGTGCAATCCAAGACTACAAAAGGACTGGCCAGCCTCCTCGTCAGGCAGATAGCTCATTCGCATGAAGTGTGGAAGTGCTGGTGCACTTGTGCGCTATTGTGAGGGGCAGAGCGCTGAAGCCAGAGTGGTGCGCTAAGGAAGAGAGGGAGAGGTAGAGAGCGCTGGCAGGGAGAAGGCAGCCATAGCCAGTGCAGGGTGTTAGTGCTAGTAGTAAGTAGTAGACTTCAGAGGGTTCGTAAAGTTGACAGTGGGTGTATTCAGAGTTGGTCCTTTAGTAGAGAGAGTGTGAGTGCATGCAGATAGGGAGATACGGGGAGGTAGAAGACAGAGGGAAGACCAAGAGAGGAAGAAGAGAGAAGAGCTTCAGGAAAGTTACATACCTGAGTGGAGATTCTGGATGCTTGGGTTTGCGCTGTTGAGCACCTGTGACCGAAACTCTTAAATTGTTTATATGTTAATTTGTTGGAATTCAGAGCTGCGTTACATGGTCTTCATCTCTCTGGTCTCCATTGTGAAACTCGTGTGATCTCATACACGCATGTGGTGTGATTGTGTGCACTCACTGATGTTGAACTAAGAGGCTCGTTGCATCTTCCTCCTACCACTAACACCTTCGGCTATGGCCGATCTTCCTCCTCTTAGCCCTCTTCTCCCTCGGGCACCTGCAGACCTCCTTGCACAAGGCGCTAAGCCAGCGCTTCCGCATGGCTCACAGGCAGAATGAATGAATGACTGGACTCTGCCTCCTGATTTATACTTCGGATGGTCGCTGGTCTGCACCTTTCCACCGGGCCCAGGGTGCACACAGTCCCACATAGTACTTGCTGACTGGACAAAGTGCGACTGGGACTGGGTACCGCTGACTAGGTGAGGTTGGACTGCCCACTTGCCCCTAGTCTGACTCTTAGGACTCTATGAAAGGTCGCTTCCGGACCTTCTGGAAGGCTGTGGAGTTGACCTTTCGGGACTAGCAGCTAAGACTTTGACTTTTCAGGACTGTAGTAGCTACGAATCCTACTCAGTTAAGACTCCTACTCGACAGACCTACGCACCAAGACCCGACGACCAAAACAGCGACTACCAAAACACAGGTCGCGGGTTCAAACACGCAGGGGTCGACTGTACTGTAAACGGGTGAGGGGCAGGTCTAGGGATCGAGCCCTGGGATCTCCATCTGCTACTGCAAAGGTGAAAACCATTTCACTCCCGCCGGCCTAAATTCGAGGTCCTCCGAGAATAATTCAATCTATAATAGGGTCTTTACCTTTCTTAGCTCTTTCATAGGCACCGACTACGTCGGGAGCAGTCTCTAAAAGTTCTGTTCGGGTTAACCAGCGATCGTCTTCCGGCGCTTGGTAAGAAAATCTGACTTTACACTGTTTATGTGGACGACCTCTACCTCCGGTCCTACACACGTCTTCTTCCAGTATGCGATCAATGCCGTACCTTCCGTCCATAGCTGGGGGGATCATTGACCTCCTCGATGGGAACTGCTAACTTGTCGTGCAAGTTAACAACTTTGACGCCTGGAACACTGGATATGTATAAAGGTGTGCTGGGATCTCTATTGTGTAGGACGGTCCATCCTCTCCGTCCTTGACTTCTAGGACTGGCCACGGTCCTCTATATGCAGGCAACAGCTTCTGCGCGATATCCTCCTCACGAGCAAACTCTTTAGACTTGACCTGTACTAAGTCGCCTACTTGGAACTGAGATGGGCGATGATGTTTATTAGCTTGTTCTATCATCTTATGCTGGGCCTTCTTGAGGTTCTCTATCACGGTAGCAATCTCTTTCTCGTGCTGTAGCGCAAACTCTCTAGAACCGGGCAGTAGCCTCTGGATCTGATCCCGGTTCAGTCCTTCAAACAGTCTACGTGGTTTAAAGGACTTATGCAGTTTGTTGGGAGTGCGACATGTTGTTAGGTGAACGCTGTTGTTGTATGCACTGGCTACCTTTGGGAGCATCTTATCCCAGTGGACTTGATCAGGTCTAATGTACATTCTAAGAACTTGCTGCAGGATCTTGTTCATCTGTTCAATCTGACCCTTTGTCTATGGATGACGGCCAGATGACATAAGTAGCTTAGAACAATATACCTTCATAAGTTCCTGCCAGTTCTGACTAGTGAACCTGGTATCTCTGTCACTAACTATTGACAGCGGTAGACCGTGTTCACTGACCCAATGATAAAGAAGTTTTGCTATTACTAAGTCAGTTCGTGCCTCAAAAGGCAAGGGAACAAAAACTGTGTATTTACTAAAACGGTCTACAATGACCATGACTTGGCTCTTGCCATGCCTACTCCTGACTCCAGCATCCATAAAGTCGATGGACACAGTCTCCGAGTCCCGACGGAATAGGTACATGCCAGTCCACGAAGTTTTATTGCGCTTGCATACCTTGCAACTACGCACATGCTCTATGCAGTCAGCTTTCATGCCAGTCCACGTATAGGCATGCATCAGGTTGGCAAGGGTCTTTTGGCAACCGAGGTGCCCTTCCGTATCGTGACATTCCCCAAGGATCAAACTACGGATCCCTTCACTGTTGGTGTGGTAGTGAGGTTCACTGGCTGAGTCCTCCTCGACTCTCTTAAGGAGGTCGCCAGGGTTGCATCCCCGCCGACCGGTCGGGCCGACCGCCGACCGTATTGTACCGACCTATCAGGGCCGACCGGTCAGCGGTAGCCGACGGCTCAGAAAACAGTCTCCCTCTTTTTTTTTTTTTTTTTCTGACTTCGGGTCTGTACTGCGCTTGCTGAGTTGGAGCATACCTGCGGCGCAAGTGTGCTGGTCACCGATGCGCAAAAAAAAAGAAGAAAAAAAAAGGAAAAAAAGAAAAAAGAAAAAAGAAAATAAAAGCGGCTGTTA